CATATTGAGTGCAGCACTTTCACAGCATCATCTTTTAGGATTTGAAATAGCTCAACTGGAATTCCATCACATCCACTAGCTTTGCTTGTAGTGATGCTTTCTAAGGCCCACCTGATTTCACATTCCAGGATGTCTGGCTCTATGTGACTGATCACACCATTGTGATTATCTGGGTCATGAAGATCTTTTTTGTACAGTTCTTCTGTGTATTCTTGCCACCTCTTCTTAATATCTTCTGCTTCTGTTAGGTCCATATCATTTCTGTCCTTTATCGAACCCATCTTTGCATGAAATATTCCCTTGGTATCTCTAATTTTCTTGAAGAGATCTCTAGTCTTTCCCATTCTATTATTTTCCTGTATTTCTTTGCATTGATCACTGAGGAAGGCTTTCTTATCTCTCCTGGCTATTCTTTGGAACTCTGCATTCAAATGGGAATATCTTTCCTTTTCTCCTTTGTTTTTCGCTTCTCTTCTTTTCACAGCTATTTGTAAGGCCTCCTCAGACAACGATTTTGCCTTTTCGCATTTCTTTTCCATGGGGATGGTCTTGATCCCTGTCTCCTGTACAATGTCACAAACCTCTGCCCATAGTTCATCAGGCACTCTATCAGATCCTCTCTAGAGTCTTACAAAAAAATACAATTATTGTCCCAATTCTACAGGTAAGGAAACTGGAGTTTGAGGTGGGCGCTCTTCCCAGATCTTGCAGCTGCAGGAGCTGAAACCAGGTTGGACACCATAGCTGCCTCACTCCAGCATCTGAGCTCCTCACCAATAAACTGTGCAGGTCTTCTGGAGCCTTCACCTCCTTCTGCATGTTCCATATCGTGTGTCAGCTTTGATGTATCATTTGTCACCCTAACTGTAGGTCGTGTGCACATGTGTACATGTGTGTGAATATGTGTTTATATCTGTGAACATCTGTGCATTTGCTGTGTGCATGTGTGTGCACATGTATCCCTATGTGTGTGAATACACGTGTGTACATCTGTGTGCCTCAGTGTTTACATGTATGCGTGTGTGCCTTGGTGCATGTGGGTGAACATTTGTGTGCATGTGTGTGCATATGTGTGTACATGTGTACACATGGGTGCACATGGGTGCACTGTGTGCAAGTGTGTGTACACATGGGTTCGTGTGTGTGTGTGTGTGTCTGGTGTAAATGCATATGCATGCACATGGGTGTGCGATGTACATCTAGGTCCACATGTGTGTACATCTGGCTGCACATATGTGTGTACATCTGTGTGCACGTGTGTGTGTGTGTCTGGGTGCATGAGTGCATCTGGGTGTGTGTGTGCACGTCTGTATATTCTGTGTGCTCATGTGCATAAATGTCTGTGTGCACATCTGTGTTCATGTGCATGTGTGCGTACAGCTGAGTGCACATGTGTGTGTGTGTGTGTGCATGTGTACATATGGGTGCAGGTGTGTGTACATCTGGATGCATTTGTGTGTGTGCATGTTTGTGCACATCTGGATGCACAGATGTGTGTATATGTGCACGCCTGGTGTCATGTGCGTATATCTGGGTGCATTGTGTGTATGTGTATCATGTTTATGCACATCTGGATGCACATATGTGCATATATGTGTATGCCTGGTGTGCATATGTGTACATCTGGGTGCATTGTGTGTATGTGTATCATGTTTATGCACATCTGGGTGCACATATGTGCATATATGTGTACGCCTGCTGTCATGTGTGTGCATCTGGGTGCATTGTGTGTCCGTGTGTGCGTCTGTGTGTGTGTGCACACCAAACATTTGGTGCTCAATTGTGCAAATGGTACCGCTGCCTTGGAAGCTTCCAACAAAATTAAACCTACACCAGCCTTTTGACCCAGCAATCTCATGGCTCTGTACACACCCAAAAGAAATGAAAACAGATGTCCGTAACTGCTCTTAGCAACTTTCTTCAGAAAATTAACTGTACAACTACTTTATGACCTGTCTATAAATATGTCAATAAAATTACAATTTTTGGAGGAATATACACCACATCCCCTACATACAAATGAGTTCCACTCTAAGAGTGCATTCATAAGTTCAATTTGTTCATAAGTCCCACAGTCAGCAAAGATATGCAACTTACACAATCAGTTGTACAGTACTGTACTGTACCAGGTTTATAATACTTTTCACACAAATAATACATAAAAGCAAATACAAATAAAGAAAATATTTTTAATCTTACAGTATAGTATCTGAAAAGGTACAGTACTACCAGCTACATTGCCACTGCTTCCACACTTGCTTCTGGACATTCCGTTTAAATAAAGATAATGGACTACTGTATTCTGCACAAAGTTCACAGAAGCACAGCCACGTGCAGAAGATGCTCTCACGTGACAGTGTACACCTGACATGTGATCCGATCTGTGTGACTGGACAGGCCAATGCACGCTCACATCTTTGAAAGTCCACAGCTTGAAAGCTTGTATATAAGGCACTTGCTGTATTGCATATTTCTATACATATGCTGCCCGTGTGCACGCACACACACACATACACACACACCCTCCAGATTCCAGGCTCTGGAGGAAGGGAGAAGCAGATTTCTAATCACCAAGGATATCTCCATGATGCAGTTTTAGGGACTGAAAATCACTAGAACCAAACTGAAGTGAGACTGGGGCTTCAGGTAGCAGGTGTTCAAAGGAAACGAGTCACTGTTTCTAAGTTTCTGAGTTTAAGACAGCCAGGCCTTCAGGTGACGCCACGCAGCTGCCACACTCAGGAAGCAGGAAGAGGCTGGCATCAGAGACTGACGTTTTTTCAACTTGTGGTGCATGAACAGCTTAGATCATGGTTGAATTTACAACAGAAGACGCGAGAAGAGTCAGAGAACAGCTGGACAAGTGTATGAAGAGAAGCAACCAGAGCGAAAGATTCCAAGAGACAAGAAAAGGTCAGGGAAAGGAGGCCTGGAGGTAACAGGGCTAATGCTAGAAGGAGTCTCAGCGCGATGTGTGACAGACACAACTACAAAAGTAAGTTAAGTGCAAGCTTATGGCTTACGTTAGTATTTCTAAGGCCCAGAGAACTCACCTGTGGGCTAATGGAAAACAGGTCGAGAAAGAGACAGAAAGTTCTCTGATGTAACAAACAGTGCCTGGAAGGTCAAGAGTGGATGCGCCCAGGCAGCTGCAGCAGCAGCCAGCAGAGAAGGAGGCAGCCCCTGCGTGCTCCCTGCCCTGACGGACCTCGGACAAGGGCGAGCACAGACACGCAGCTGGGGGGCCGACAGGCAAAGGGCAGCTCCCCGCACTCGCCGGCACGGCTCGATGCTTGAGCGTCTGCTTCCGTCAGCTTCTGTCACAGGATTATCTCTTGTTGAGAAGTCCTTCCTGAGACTCCTCATTTTTACCTAAATCCAAATGGGAACTAACACTGGCCTGTGTCTATCTGGAATCTCAAAATGCACGGAAGATGACACAATGGTACTCGTTGTGAAGCAATTCTAAGAAGAGTCATCTAAGAAATGGGCTTCTGTGTTCTACATGAAAACGGCATGAAATGAAACATATCTTTTAGGACTTTCCTGTGGATAATAATCCACCCGCCAATGCAGAGGACACGGGCTCGATCCCTGGTGTGGGAGGATTCCGCATGCCACCCGTGTACCACAATGACCAACCGCTGCCGTGAGGAGCCCGGGCGGCAGAAGGAAGGGCAGCCCCACTCACCGCAACCAGGGGAAGCCCGCGCGCGGCAACAGAGACCCAGCACCGTCAGAAAAACAAACAGACTTTAAAAGAGAGGAAAACAAAGAATGAACAAAGGGGACAAACAGAAAAAAAATAATGTGATAAATAGATTAAACATATATTTTCACCCAGAAGGTTCCTGAGTCAATGAAAACAGCAGTGTGCAGGTCCCAATATCAGAAATATTTTATTAGCTACGTACTTATCACAAGCTGTACTTCCTTCCACACAGTGGCAACGACCCGTCCAAAAGGACAAAGTGTACTTTATGTAAAGAGTGGAAAAGTTAACAAGGAATTCTGCAACTGACTCAATTTTATTACAATCCATGGCAAGAACAAAATGTCTTAATTAGAGGTAATAACAGTTATTGATTCATGAAGCAACTTCTCCCCATTAAACAGAAATAAATGTTAGGTAAAACGTGCTAAGAAAATAAAAGAAACTGAAAGAAAACCTGTATAGAATAAGTGTTACTCTGAAACTAAATCAATCCCTGGGAAAAGGGGTGAGGAAAAACGAAGCAACATTTTTCAGGCAAAAGATGAGGATGTGGCAGAAACCACAAGGGTGCTGGAATAATACTGCTCAAAAATATTTTCACAAAAAGTATAAGGGACTGAATGTACTACTGAAAAAGATCAGGGTTTTGCAAACAGGACTAGACCAATTCATTACAACTGTTGTGTAATTCTGTTGAACCGTATCCGTGAAGATGAAGTGTCTTTCATTTTTCATCTCACAGGATTCTAACATGTGTCCTTCATTTTCCCTTTTCCCGAATTAACCCCACAGAAGAGAAAAGAATTGCAAACAGAAGTGAATTCTGTATTTCTGAAGCTTCTAATAATTATATGGTCCACGGGGGAATCAACTGTCAAACTAAGGACATTTACTTTGCTTTTTAAAATATTTCCAAAGATGACATTTCTCAGAACTGTGCACATTTCTTCAGATCACTGAATTTTTATTTAAAAAAAAAAAATCTTTTCTCAGAAGACCAAAATAGTCAAGGTTTAATACAGAGTGCTATTTAAAATCTCACTGAGGCAGAAACGCTGCCTGCGTCCAGGAAGAAGCAGAGAGTCTGTTAGAAAATGTTGGTGACGCTGCTCTGGGCTCTCCCATCAGACCCGAGGCAGACACACGACGTCCTTCTTCTGTCACGGATCCCCACCCAGCCCGGACAACAGGAACTGTGACAAGCGAGGTGACAAGCTCCTCCCACAGAGGCAGAGCACGCGCATCACCAGACGGCCCCGACTGCGGGTCTAACCGTCGGTGTCTCCTTCTCAAGGGAGAAGCAGCCCCATTATCTGGAAGCAAATCCCGATCAACCCGGTCTCCAATAACGGCTTGGTCTTTCTCAGCATCTGTGGACCTCGGATCAAATATGCAACTGCTTATCTGCGAGTGTCCTTTAGTTCATTCCCTCATTCTGATTTCTCTGAAAAGGTGATCCTACGATGAAATAGAGGGGCCATGGCTTTAGTGTGATCCCGAAGAAGTCATCATGGTACAGTCACAGCTTTCTGCACAGTAAGATTCAAGCGGCATTTCTGAAACACAACCACGCACATGTATTATCCCCTCTTCCCTACAGCAGGCACCTCCGTGCGCTACGGCAGATAGAAACACCACGGATCAGGGAACGGTGATTCCCACTGGTACGGAGAAGAACAGCACACAGACGCAGGCTCCCCTGAGCCGAGCGCCCCCTTCAGTGCCTGGCCCGGCCCACAAGGAGGTCGTGAAGGGGCTCCTGCAAAGGTGAAGTCAGGCTCATCCACGTCAAGGATAGCTCCCGATGCCCGCGTGTGGCCTTGCATTTGGAAGTTTTTCAAATACGTGCAGAAGTACAGAGAGTTACACAAGGAGTTCCACACACACACAACCCAAATACAACATTATTAAGACTTGCTATACTTGCTCCAAGTGTCGTACCTTTTTTCTTTGCCTTTCTAGTTTTTGCGGTTAAAAAGTATGAAGTATCTTGAAGCGAACTGCAAAAATGAGTCCTATGTATTTTGTAAGTGTTTAAAAACATGGGCATTTTACACCTAACTGCACTGCCATTTTTACATCTAAAATAATAATAATTCACCGATATTTACTACCCAGTAAATACAAAACCTTACCCAAGTATTCTCAAATGTCTTTTAACAATTATGTGGGTTCAATCGGGATCTAGTCGAGATCTGTATGTTGCTCTTATGTCTCTCTATTTTGGAGCAATGCTTCCTCTGCCTGCCTCTTTTTCATGCCATATTGTTGTTGAAGGAACTGGACCAGTGTCCTGAAGGATGCTCCGTATCTAGAATCTGTCTGTCTGCTTTTTTGGACGCCCTTTCAATTTCTTCCATTATCCTGTGTATTTTCTCTTAAGCCAGAAGTTACCTGCAAAGACTCAGTTAGCTTCTGGCTCCCCTGTTATCAGAGGACTACCTCCTGGTGAAGACTAACGTGGTACATACCTTAAAAGAGCATCAGTGACACGCACTAACATTTCAACGCTTCCATACTTAAAGACGTTAATGGTGGCCAGAAGGTCCAGGTTGTGACAGCAAGATGCCCCCGGAGAGTTTCCCATCAACCTTGTTTTTAATCATCCTGATGACATTTAGCGTAAGCTCACCTTCTCAACACGGCTCACGCGCGCATGCAGCAGTGCTGAGCCCAGACGCCCTGTTGACAGAAGAGTCCACTCCCACTCGTCCTGCGCAACTAGCCCTGTGCCGCTGCCCAGAAGCTCCCATTCCCCCGCCCGAGCTCCTGGCCCCACTTTCCACCGTCTGCCTCTATGAGTCTGCTTTAGGTTCCTCATATAAGTAGGCTCACACGGTATCTGTCCTTCTATGGCTGGCCTGCCAGACCTTGTATGTGATTGCTATTTAATACCATTAGGATGTCACAGCCTCAGAGCACTGGCCCATGGTCAAGATTCTGTCCTAACAGGCAGCAGTACTGACTGTCTCCCCAAGAATGAGTACAGGATCTCCGCCTGAAGACCAACACACAGCCACGGCAGCACATACATGTCTGTCTTCAGCACCACAAGCCACGAATCGGCCACAAGGGCTAAAGGCAATTCCACACGGGTAGCCGCGGTTTGGATGTCCTTCAAAACGGCGCTCACACCTACAAGGAAGAAAAAACACCAAGAGAAAAAAGTATTTCTCAATTTTTAACATAAATTATTGGAGGAAGATACTGACTTGTCTTCACAAAAATGAGCAAACTAACAGTGAAACAACATCTTTATATGTGAGGACTATTGATGATAAATGGTGAGGCAGGTTATTCTGGACACTGTTTAAAAATAATGAACACACTTTTAAAATCATAAATTCACAAAAACAACAAAACTAACATTAAATAAACTTTTTATACATGAAACGTATACAAAAGTCACAAAGGATAGAAACAGAGGGTTTATACTTGATTAGTGAACGAAGAAGAAAACAGAGGCAGTCTGCTACTATTGTCCTGTCGCACACACAGATACAGAGACAGATGTAAGTAGTTATTCTATTTTGTTAGATACATTATATAGTCAATGTCCGTCTGCCATAACTATCAGGACATTTTAAGGAATAGAATTATGTGTGTGTGTATAAATATATATATGTATATATGTATGTGTGTATATCACTGTGTGTATATATATTTGTGTACACATATATATATATCCATCTCTCTGTTACATGTATGCACCCATGTGTGCATGTATATACATATATATACACACGTATTTTTGTATACATATACACACACACACACACACATCTAACTGTAATATGTATCACTATGTGTGTATATATTTGTATACATATATATGTACATCTCAACATTCAGAAAACTAAGGTCATGGCATCTGGTCCCATCACTTCATGGCAAATAGATGGGGAAACAGTGGAAACAGTGTCAGACTTTATTTTTCTGGGCTCCAAAATCACTGCAGATGGTGACTGTTGCCATGAAATTAAAAGACGCTTACTCCTTGGAAGGAAAGTTATGACCAACCTAGACAGCATATTAAAAAGCAGAGACATTACTTTGCCAACAAAGGTCTGTCTAGTCAAGGCTATGGTTTTTCCAGTGGTCATGTATGGATGTGAGAGTTGGACTGTGAAGAAAGCTGAGTGCCGAAGAATTGAAGCATTTGAACTGTGGTGTTGGAGAGGACTCTTGAGAGTCCCTTGGACTGCAATGAGGTCCAACCAGTCCATCCTAAAGGAGATCAGTCCTGGGTGTTCATTGGAAGGACTGATGCTGAAGCTGAAACTCCAATGTTTTGGCCACTTGATGGGAAGAACTGACTCACTGGAAAAGACCCTCATGCTGGGAGGGGTTGGGGGCAGGAGGAGAAGGGGACGACAGAGGATGAGATGGCTGGATGGCATCACCGACTTGATGGACATGGGTTTGAGTAAACTCCCGGAGCTGATGATGGACAGGGAGGCCTGGCGTGCTGCGATCCATGGGGTCGCAAAGAGTTGGACAGGACTGAACGACTGAGCTGAACTGATACATACATCTCACTGGTACATGGTCATATCACTATGTGTGTATGTATTTGTATACATACATATACATCTGACTGTTACATGTATGTACCCCTGTGTGTGTATATTTATATATATATATACACACACACATACTTTGTATACATACATATACACACACATCTACCTGTATTATGCGTCACTGTGTGTGTATACATATATTTATGTACAAATAGATGTACACCGCACTGTTACATGCCCATCTCACTGTGTGTGCACATGCCTGCACACACACATATACATCTCACTGTTACATACATGCTCACTGAAGTCCAACAGTGAAGTGATCAATTAGCTGCCTGTGCATTTCCAGCAATCAGAGGTCACATGTGACATGTAGCAGAGGAAAGACCAGGATCTGCATTTTTATCATTCCAACTGTGTGACCCTTTCTGTGCATAAACCAGACTTTCCTTAGTCAGTGTGAATAGATTCACTACAACCTTGTCATACTTGGAAAAACAAGCTCAAGTGGAGTTTACCATGAGCTTTAATTAAAATACACTCTATGGGGTCTGTCTGGCCTCACCCCCAACTGCAACCAGAAAAGCAGAAGGAGCCGCACCTCAGGGTCCTCAGGTCCCAAAGCTTTATCCCGTCACCAGTGGCTGCTGTCGCAAAGAGGTTATAAGCCTGGGATTGCTGGGTCGCAAATGATGACCCCTGTAATTATAAGGGGAAAATCAAGGCATATTTTTTACAGGTTGAATTAATAAACATTACACTATTCATATCTAACAACACTGAATCTAAAGAAAGAAATTAACGAATAGCTTTTTTATTTATAAAAATTTTAGCATTGGACTCCAAAAACTTCCTATGAATAATTGCTAATGGAACATTTTGATCTTAAGAACTACTGATGTATGTTTTCTCTATATGTAATGCCATGGAAGTTACAGAACTACAAATGGCAAAAGATCAAAAGAGTGGTAATAATACACCAAAGTTTTTAAAGTGTAGGTCATAAGCCATAGTCAATAAATTATCTGAAAGATGGTCTTAATAAGGCATTTAAAGCTTGAGGTCAGTTATTAGTTTCCTACTTATCAAACTCTGCTTATCAATCCCTGAGACTCCCTGAGCAGGTGCCTGTGTCGCTGACTTGGGTGAAATCCAGCTCGTGTCCCAGCAGACGCCGACACTTCCGAGGACCTGCCTCTGGTCTGGTCACCGGGCCCTCAGGACCCTTACCTTCTCCAAGCTGCTGTCAGAAGTGTGGCCATGATTTTCAGTGTCTAGTGGATTGAAACTGAACTCCATCTACAGAGCCATCTGGCCCCAAACATTACTTAAATATAATGTGGTTTATAATAATTTCCATCTTCCTACTATATCAAGAATATCCAAACATTAATGTTAAGACAAATCTAATAAAGTGTGTCCACAAGCATTTATGCTTAAAATACCTGCAAGTGATTCTTCATTTACAAACAGGAAACAAAGGCTTATATAAATTCAGTGACTAGAAAAACAAACAAATATGCATTGAGTCTTAACTGTGCACCCACAGCACTCTGAACACTTCACATTTCCTCCTCTTAGCAAACTTGTGAAGTGTCAGCTATGTTGCTCCCTTTTTCATATGAGAAACCTAACACACAGAGGGGTCCCGTCACTGCCTCCCAGTTACCAAGATGAGCACAGCACAGTGATCCGCAGACTGGAACTGGGCTAAGACAGCTTGACAACTCATAACACAGAAACAACAGGCGTTCAGCAAATACGTGGCGGTCACCTACTGAAAATGGGTGCTCTGCAACGCCCTGAGTGCAAAAAGAACAAAGCACAGGTCTAGTCTAACAGAGAGATGAGTGTACAGTTACAAGAGCTTACAATATTGCTAGCTTCCTGAAATTGAACAGTAAAAAATGGGAAAAAAAAAAACAAATAATATACAGAGGTCAAACCTTTCAAGTGGAAAAAAAGAATTTAGAAACATATCTGATCAAGTCAGTAGACTCTGAAGGAAAAAAATGAAGCCAAGAAATATCATGATAAATAGAAAGTGAAGAGTTCTTTTTAAAGATTGAAGAGAAAAACAAAATAAGATCAACTGATGAGTCATCATAATAATTTCTAACAGAGTAAGCCCAACAGATAAAAGAAAGATTGCTAGTTGGATTTCAATAAAAACACTTAAACTATATTAATTTTAACAGTTGAAAGTAAAGGGTGGGGGAAAATAGCATATGCTAAGTAAAAAGAGGAAAGATTGATTGTAAAAATATTAAGCAAAATTAGAAATAAGGCAAAGTACACCTTATTAGACTAGAGCTCTCTTCAAGAAAATCAGAGACACCACGGGAACATTTCATGCAAAGATGGACTCAATAAAGGAGGGAAATGATATGGACCTAACAGAAGCAGAAGATATTAAGAAGAGGTGGCAAGAATACACAAAAGATCTATGCAAAAAAGATCTTGATAACCCAGATAACCACGATGGTGTGATCATTTACCTAGAACCAGACATCCTGGAATACAAAGTCAAGTGGGCCTTAGGAAGCACCACTACAAACAAAGCTAGTGGAGGCGATGGAAATCCAGTTGAGCTATTTCAAATCCTAAAACACGATTCTGAAAGTGAAAGTACTGCACTCAATATGCCACCATATTTGGAAAACTCAGCAATGGCCACAGGACTGGAAAAGGTCAGTTTTGATTCCAATCCCAAAGAAAGGCAATGCCAAAGAATGCTCAAACTACTGCACAATTATACTCATCTCATACGCTAGCAAAGTAATGCTCAAAATTCTCCAAGCCAGGCTTCAACAGTACATGAACCATGAACTTCCAGCTATTCAAGCTGGATTTAAAAAAGGCTGAGGAACCAGAGATCAAATTGCCAACATCCATTGGATCATCGAAAAAGCAAGAGAGTTCCAGAAAACATCTACTTCTGATTTATTGACTATGCTAAAGTCTTTGACTATGTGGATCACAACAAACTGTGGAAAATTTTTTAGAGAGATGGGAATACCAGACCACCTAAGCTGCCTCCTGAGAAATCTGTATGCAGGTCAAGAAGCAACAGTTAGAACTGGACATGGAACAACAGANCAGTTTGGTCAGTAAGCTGAAGCTCCAACACTTTAGTCACCTGATGCGAAGAACTGACTCATTGGAAAAGACCCTGATGCTGGGAAAGATTGAAGGCAGGAGGAGAAGGGGACGACAGAGAATGAGATGGTTGGATGGCATCACCGACTAGACGGACATGAGTTTGAGTATGCTTGGAGAGTTGGTGATGGACAGGGAGGCCTGGCAAGCTGCAGTCCATGGTGTCTCAAAGAGTTGGACACAAGTGGGCAACTGAACTGAACTGAAAGTACACCTAACTAGTAATCGTTTCTGAATGTGATAAAAACAACTATATCTGAAAATATAAGATGTTGTTGTGCAGTCAGCCAGTCATGTCTGACTCTTTGTAACCCCAGGGACTGCAGCACTCTGGCCTCCCTGTCCCTCACCATCGCCCAAGTTTTGCCCAAGTTCACGTCCATTGCATCGGCGATGCCATCCAGCCGTCTCATCCTCTGATGCCCTCTTCTCCTTCTGCCCTCAATCTTTCCCAGCATCAGGGACTTTTCCAGTGAGTCAGCTCCTTGCATCAGATGACTGAAAATACTGGAGCTTCAGCTTCAGCATCAGTCCTTCCAGTGAACATTCAGGGTTGATCTCCCCTAAGATTGACTGGTTTGATCTCCTTGCAGTACAAGGGACTTTCAGGAGTCTTCTCTAGCACCACAGTTCAAAGGCATCAATTCTTAGGTGTTCTGCCAAATTTACAGTCCAGCTCTCACAACCGTTGTCAACAGAGTAATGTCTCTGCTTTTCAACACGCTCTCTAGGTTTGTCATCACTTTCCTGCCAAGAAGCAATCGTCTTTTGATTTTCATGGCTGCAGTCAGCATCTGCAGTGATTTTGGAGCCCAAGAAGAGGGAATCTGTCACTACTTCCACCTTTTCTCCTTCCATTTGCCATGCAGTAATGGGGCCAGATGCCACGATCTTAGTTTTTTTAAATATTAATGTTAAGCTGCCTCTTTTTTTATGTATTTATATTAGTTTGAGGCTAATTACTTTACAATATGGTAGTGGTTTTTGCCACACATTGATATGAATCAGCCATGGATTTACATGTGTTCCCCATCCTGAACCCCCCTCCCACCTCCCTCCCCATCCCGTCCCTCTGGGTCATCCTAGTGCACCAGCCCCGAGCACTTGTCTCATGCATCAAACCTGGACTGGTGATCTGTTTCGCAATTAATAATATACATGTTTCAATGCTATTCTCTCAGATCATCCCACCCTCGCCTTCTCCCACAGAGTCCACAAGTCTGTTCTATACATCTGTGTCTCTTTTTCTGTCTTGCATATAGGGCTATGGTTACCATCTTTCTAAATTCCATACATATGCATTAGTATAGTGTATTGGTGTTTCTCTTTCTGGCTTACTTCACTGTGTATAATGGGCTCCAGTTTCATCCACCTCATCAGAACTGATTCCCACGTATTCTCTTTACTGGCTGAGTACCATCCCATGGTGTATGTGCACCACGGCTCCCTCAGCCGCTCGTCTGCCGACGGGCGTCTAGGCTGCTCCCATGTCCCGGCTGTTGTAAGCAGTGCTGCTGCCTGCTTCCCTCTTCTCCTTCGCCCTCATCAAAAGGCTGTCATTTCCTCTTCGCTTTCTGCCATAAGAGTGGTGTAATCTGCATATCTGAGGCTGTTGTTTCTCCCGCCTATCTTGATTCCAGTTTGTAACTCACACAGCCTGGCATTTCTCATGACATGCTCAGCATATAGGTTAAACAAACAGGGTGACACCACCCTTATGGCAGAAAGCAAAGAGGAACTAAAGAGCCTCTTGATGAAGGTGAAAGAGGAGAGTGAAACAAGTTGGCTTAAAACTAAACATTCAAAAAACTAAGATCATGGCTTCTGGTCCCATCACTTCACGGCAAAGAGATGGGGAAACAATGAAAACAGTGACAGACTTTATTTTCTTGGGCTCCAAACCACTGCGCATTGTGACTGCAGTCATGAAAGTAAAAGACGCTTGCTTCTTGGAACAAAAGCTAAGACAAACCTAAACAGAATATTAAAAAGCAGAGACATAACTTTACTAACAAAGGTCTGTATAGTCAAAGCTATGGTTTTTCCAGTAGTCAAGTATGGATGTGAGAGTTGGACTCTATAAAGAAAGCTGAGCGCCGAAGAACTGATGCTTTTGAACTGTGGAGAAGTTTCTTGAGAGTCTCCTGGGCTGTAAGGAGGTCAAACCAGTCAATCTTAAAGGAAATCAACCCTGAATATTCATTTGAAGGACTAGTGTTGAAGCTGAAACTCCAATACTTTGACTATCTGATGCGAAGAACTGACTCACTGGAAAAGACCCTGATGCTGGGAAAGACTGAAGGCAGGAGAAGAAGGGGACGACAGAGGATGAGATGGTTGGATGGCATCACCGACTCAATGGACATGGGTTTGGGTGGACTCCGGGAGTTGGTGATGGACAGGGAGGCCTGGTGGGCTGGGGTTCATGGGGTCGCAAAGAGTCTGACATGACCGAGCAACTGAACTGAACTGATGTGGAAAACTGAAAGCTCATATATAAATAAAGACTCGGTTGAAAAAAATCAGAAAATATTTACTGCTAAGTCAAAAGGCCATTTGCTAAACTGGCAAATTACAACCAAAGCAGCATTCAGAGAGAAATTTATAGGCTTAAATGCACACGTAAGAAATGCACGAAAATGGGTAAAATCCATGCCCATGGTGCAGAGATGAGGTAGCTATGGAGACTTGCAGGACAACAGTTCCTGCAGGGCTGTGGTTAGTCAGAACACTTGGATGCCCAGCGAGTAACTGAGCAGAAATTTAAGGGAAGTTTAAGAAAACTATTAAACCATGCTGCAAACCTCTAACCGTATACCCTCATCTTTTTCATCCTATCACATACCATTCAGATGTTTTATTTTCAGGAATTAAAACCGGTTCTTTCCCCATCAAACCCCTCAGAACTCCCTTTCCAACATAACGCCTCTCATCTGACTGCACAGCGCCGACTGCTCTGCCCTGCTTCCCCCGCCCCACCCTGAAACGCGGATGGCTCAGGATGGACCAGCTCCCAGGCCCCGGGGAGGGGGAACCTCGTGTGGCCTGGCCTGGGGGTCACAGAGCACTCAGCTCCGCTGAGGGATGGGGGAGAGTGATTGGGACCAACGACCCCACAGGCACAGGAGCCCGAGGAACCCGCCCCTGGTGACCGGGTACACTCAGCCCTGCGAACTGCCGCACCTGCCCCTGGTGACCGGGTACACTCAGCCCTGGAAACTTGCACACACCTGCCCTGGTGACCGGGTACACTCAGCCCTGGGAACTGCCGCACCCGCCCCTGGTGACTGGGTACACTCAGCCCTGGGAACCTGCATGCACCTGCCCTGGTGACCGGGTACACTCAGCCCTGGGAACCTGCAAGCACCTGCCCTGGTGACCGGGTACACTCAGCCCTGGGAACTGCCACACCCACCCCTGGTGAGCAGGTACACTCAGCCCTGGGAACTGCTGCACCCGCCCCTGGTGACCGGGTACACTCAGCCCTGAGAACCTGCTGCACCCACCCGTGGTGACCGGGTACATTCAGCCCTCGGAACCTACCGCACCCGCCCCTGGTGACTGGGTACACTCAGCCCTCGGAACCTACCGCACCCGCCCCTGGTGACTGGGTACACTCAGCCCTGGGAACCTGCACACACCTGCGCTGGTGAGCAGGTACACTCAGCCCTGGGAACTTGCACGCACCTGCCCTGATGACTGGGTACACTCAGCCCTGGGAACCTGCACACACCTGCCCTGGTGATAGCAGGTGAGCCCCCTGGAGGAAGTGACGCCAGGTCTGTGCCGCTGGCGTGGGGCATCCCACACCAGTGCCCCCGTGCAGGAGAGTGGCCCTGGCCTCTCGGATGCCCCACCCCCTCACCTGAGACCAGAGGGTCCACACCCCCCTGAGGACAGCAGGCAGAGCGAACAAGAGCAGCTGCAAGAGGCTGCCTGCAAAGCTGACTCTATTTCGGAAGCTGTGGGGCCCCTGAGGAACCGAAGGCCGGACATGGAGTCAGGGGTGTGTGCCAGGGGCCCCTGAGGAACTGAGGCCGGACGTGGAGTCAGGGGTGTGTGCCAGGGGCCCCTGAGGAACCGAGGCCGGACGTGGAGTCAGGGGTGTGTTTTAGCAGCAGGCTGGGTGGGCAGGGCTCCTGGAGGGGCAGGAGTGGATGGGGGCCCAGGCTGACCTGGAGCTGGACTCGCACCTACAGCCTCTGGAGGTTTGCGTTCGTGGTATTAACCCCTACTGGGATTTTATATTCGAATCAGTCTGGGAACAGAGGAACCTGAGACCCAGGGACCCATCCAGACCCTCAGGCAGGAGTCAGATCAACCTGCTTCTCTTTCCTACCACCTTCAAAGGCCCCATAAAGTCAAGTTCTGTCTGACCACGTGGAAGGACGTGTGACTCCAGCCGAATGCCATCTGCTCCGACCTTCCAGAACAGCATAAGCATCCTGCTCCCATCAATGGGGGGCACTCTCTTCTCTCACCTTACAGAGCTTAAGTGGACTTCCCTGGTGGCTTAGACGGTAAAGAACCACCCGCAGTGCAAGAGACCCGGGTTCGATCCCTGGGTTGGGCAGACCCCCTGGAGAACGGAATGGCAACCTACTCCAGTATTCTTGCCCGGAGAATCCGAGGGACAGAGGAGCCTGTTGGGCTACAGTCCACGGGGTCGCAAGAGTTGGACACGACTGAGCAACTAACACACCTTATGGAGCTTCAAGACTCAGATTTGCATGAGTGAGGGTTACTCACACCCACATCTCCCACCTTCCAGTCTGCAGTTTCTTTGAAAGCAGACATCATTTCTGTAATAATTCAGCCTGACTTTCAACTGCAGGAAGCAAAATTCGATGTGTTTCTCCTTAACACTCATGGGAACAAAGGAATTGTGTGAAATTAGTTGCATATGAAGATTCAGAGTTTCCTAAGGCAATGTCCACCAGGCCTCATAAATTTATATTTTTAAAAATAGCCTCCATTTATGCATGAGACAAGTGTTCAGGGCTGGTGCACTGGGAAGACCCAGAGGGATCGGATGGGGAGGGAGGCAGGAGGGGGGATCGGGATGGGGAACACATGTAAATCCATGGCTGATTCATGTCAATGTATGGCAAAAACCACTACAATATTGTAAAGTAATTAGCCTCCAACTAATAAAAATAAATGAAAAAAAAAAATAGCTTCCATTTAGTGAATTTAGCATATGCTAAGAAATCAATATACATTATATTATTTAATCCTTATAACAGAGAAAAGCGTTATATGCAGAAGGTTAAAATATCTTCTTTTATGAAATGGAAACAGAGAGGAAGATATCAGTCAAAACAGTGACATGTTACTTTTCAAAAGGAAATAACTTCTCTGAAAATATGACAAAATCTGGTTAGCTAAGTTTAAAAGAATTGTCTTTACCGTTATTTTAAAGCCAAGGGTTTATTTTTATGTTGTAAGTGAAAGAGCATCAAAACACCAAAATCATACTTTGCATTTTCAACTTAAACAGTTTTGGGAACCAAACCGAAGAAAAACCTTATACTGAACTCTAACATACCAACTTTCAATCAAGTTTTTATGATTGTATGATAAAGTCCAGAAAGAAATAAAGATGAGAACATAAGAAACAAAGAAAATAGGATTTATAATAGATTTACAATGGAAAAGATATGTGAGTCTCTTATCAAACTTATTGGAAGTCCAGAACTCCACCAGGCCTAATGATCAATCTGGAACGCCACCTTGGCAGATCTCATTCTGAAAAAACCAGCATGAGATCATGGCTCCCAAACTCAAACCGCATTCCCGCCGTAAAAGAACAAAAGTTCTGTTCACAAGTCTCTTGGTTATTCTTTTGGGCAACAAAGCATCTTTTGAACTAAACTGTGAGACAATGAACTCATCAGAATGGCCATCTCCTCAGTCCCTGACCTTCAATGCCCAGTTGTGTGTCATTTTGAACTCTTCCTCTGTCGAAACAGACCAGCTGCACCCGACAGAGAGACCCGCAAATCCACAAAGGCTGCCTCACATCCCTGCAGAATCCACCCAGCACTGGAAACGCCCAAAACCACCGCCAAGTGGTAAATGAAAATGGGACTGTTTTCATTTGAAAGTGGTAAAATAAAAAACTGGGACCACAAAATCATCAAAGACAAAGGTACAAACATCCACATTCGAAACAGCATCCAAATGCCTTCTAACATCAAACATCAAGGCTTACAGTAGCTTCATGACCAATAAAAATCACTGTTGCTTTTGGCAGCAAACTGCTATAAGATTGCATTGTAAGTTTGTTAAACACCTTAAACACAAAGTTTACAAAGGCTGTGCGCTGTCAGACGCTCACTCACTTTATTCTGACAGATCTGGTAGACAGGCCGAGAATGGGCTCCCGTGATGACGGCCGCACTGCAGCCCACGTTGAGGTCGAAAATCTCCAAGGTCCGGTTCCGCCCAGCAGCGAGCACGAGGTCTGGGGTTCGGTTAGGGAACTTCTCTCGGCAGAAGGTTGCACGGACAGATGACCAGCTATGATCTCCTGAGGCTCCACAGGACAGTCCTGACCACAACCTGCTCCCCACCTGATCCCGGGTGCCTGGCCAGAGTTACTGGGAGGATGAGGAGGCCAGGCATGTGGATTTCCATATGGGAGGCATAGGTCCACTGAGAGTTAAGCGAGGTTTGAGATGCCAGGAAACACCCAAATCAAGAGGTGGAATGGCTGCCCTACATGTAGGCACTGAGCTCGAAGACAGGTCTGAGCCAAAGATTAGACGGGGAGGCCGTGGAAGTGAACGGTGCCCCCTTCTACCAGGTCAGGCTGCTTGCATGGAGGACAAGCCTTGAACGCAGCACATGGCAAGGACACTTCATCCACGTGGACCAGGAGGGACAGTGGTTAAGTTGGCAGACCAGTGGTTAAGACTCCACGCTTCCTCTGCAGGGGTCACGGGTTCAATCTCAGGTCAGGGAACTAAGCTCTCAGTTGCCACCTGGTGTGGCAAAAAAAAAAATAATGTGTATGCGCTAGAAAAGTACAGATTAGAAAAAGTACTAGATAGAATAATAAACCCAACACTAAAGCCAAAATACTCAGGGATCCGCACTCAAGGACAGAATAACCAGAACACCACATTTCTGCTAAATGTTTTTGTGTTTTTAGCAAAAGGTTCTAGCATAAAAAAATTACCTTTCTAACTAAAATAAACTAGAATCTCTAATATCCTGTATCAGTCCTTCTGAAATTTCAAGAATAAAACTTTTCAAAAGAATCTAACTTAGACCTTTGAATAAGTCTATAAGATGACTCCCTAAAGATCAGAGCTTTGTTTCTAAATAAAGTCAATGCTCTTTAATTTAAAATGATGATGCAACCACAAAAACTCAAAACATTTTGGGATCAATTTGCTGTTCAGCAGCACTGCTGTAACTTTGCCATCTTCCACATGAAATGGGGTACGCCATTCAGTTCATCAAAGGATGCACATGGTAAGTGTAGCCGCGTCCTGTTTAAATGCACTGAATCACTGTCACTCAAGAAGCGAGCAGACCAGGAAACTCAGATTCTGTCACTCCTCTACTCACAGCTCCCTGGGCCTGCCCTTCCTTTCCCTCCGGGGCTCTTTTCATTATTGAGATGAAGCTGTTACACGGGGCCTCTGAGCTCCACGAGGTCCGAGTGCGCAGCCCGAGCCTGGAGCCTGGACCCTCAGCACAAGCCTGTGCCGGAAGGATGACGGTCAGGATGTGGAAACATCGGACGCACAGCAGGAGCAAGGATACAGGAGTGGAAATCATTCACCGCAGACAGGCTGGTGATGTCCACGACGTCGGCCGTGAGGAGCCTGCACACGGGCGTGCACCAGCTCTTCTGTCTGTACCTGTGAGAGGGTGGAGGACGGTCAACCCCCTTGTTCCCCTTTTGCCACACCCAAGATTCTACCTTCAGAAACTTGAAAATAAAAGTTTTCATGTCACTTAATATTAACAATGATATTTCATTAATAAATGATAATAATAAATAAATTTTATTAGATAGCAAGTTGACTATCCAAGTTATCCTTTAGGTAACTCTAGCTTTTCCTTTAGTAAAACTTCATGAAAAAGATTACTATCTATAAAGCCAAGTGCAATTCAACCCTATCTATGAGAAGACAAATTTTTCTCCTAGTTTTAAAATAACTGTGTATACTTAGCAAGACTCCACAGATCAAACCCGGGTCTCCTGCATTACAGGCAGATTCTTTACAATCTGAGCCACCAGGGAAACTCTAATACTTAAGATACCCAATGAGCTACAAGTTATCTGTTGTTGTTCAGTTGCCCAGTCGTGCCTGACTCTTTGTGACTCACCACCCCAGGCCTCCCTGTCCCTCACCATCTCCTGAACTTTGCCCAAATTTACGTTTATTGCATCGGTGATGCCATCCAACTATCTCATCCTCTAATGCCCTCTTCTCCTTCTGCCCTCAATCTTTCCCAGCATCAGAGACTTATCCAATGAGTCGGCTCTTTGCATCAGACGATCAAAATACTGGAGCTTTGGCTTCAGCATCAGTCCTTCCAACAAATATTCAGGGCTGATTTCTCTTAAGATTGACTGGTTTGACCTCCTTGCTGTCCAAGGGACTCTCAGGAGTCCTCTCCAGCACCACAGTTCGAAGGCATCAATTCTTTGGCACTCTGCCCTCTTTATGGTCCACTCTCACATCCATACGTGATGACTAAAAAACCATGACTTTGACTAGACAGACCTTTGTTGGCAAAGTGATGCACAGGTGGGCAATGGCCAAAGCCATGAGGGCTTAGTGTCCAAACCTCTCAGACACTTGAGGTGTGGATGAAACTGGTTGTCAGCCCATCCCGTCCATAGGGAAGTAACTGCTGGGCAAGGGTCTGATGCACAGAGACAGGCACAGAGTGGTACCCGGAGGGGTGACTCGAAGTGCAGGGACAGGCCTCACGTCCCGGGAGAACAGGCCACACACATACTCAGAGGACAAGCCAGGCCAAGTCTCGGGAACTTTGGGAATGAAGCTTAATGATCAGCAGAGATTTCATAGACCCCTGTGTATCCTGCTGAGAGACTGCCCAAAGCCACACAGCAGGACGGCTAAAGAGGTGATAGGAGCAACTTAATGTGGACAGGACAGCCCAGGAAAGGGTCTCAGAGAGAAGAGTCATGTGAGTAAAGGGGCTGCAGACACCCCTGCGATGGGAGGGCCAGGAGTGCCTCACGGATAAGGCGTAGGTGTTCCTGACCCAACCCCACACCTCCCCAGGGTGCAGGAGTCCCCAGTGCTGGAAGCCGGCATGTGCCCATCGAGGTGAGGCCGTCAGCACCATGGGGACTCTGGGTCAGAGGCGAGGGATGTGGGAGGAGGCCAAGACAAGAGGCAAACAGCTTGGCCATGAGACCAGCCCCACCCAACACCCAGGGTGCTCCTGAGGCCCTGAGGCATGCAGGCCTAAACAGGTCTCCCTTTCATCTTGCCGTGAGAAACACAGGCGTGATGCCTGGAGCTACAGCAGCCACCTTGTTCTGCAGAGTGATAAGCAGTGGGACAGAGCCACCCAGAAGAGGGTGGTGGGCAGGACCTGATGGAAACACCAACGTCGTGGTGTGAACACAGTGAGCGGCAGTCAGCTACAGGTAGGAAGCTGGCTGATGGGCCCCCACTCTGCAGGACGCAGGACAGGGGGGACTGCGGGCACCGCCTTCAGAGATGTGCGAGCCCACCACCATGCTGCTGGGCGCCACCTACGCCCCCTCTGGGGTGGCTGGAGAAGGGAGCCCAGAAACGCCCACCAGGCCCACTGCCAGATGCGTGCAGGGATGCTCAGGGTGGCCCCACTGGAACAAACGAGGTGTCTCTGTGTGGGAACCAGGAAGAGCTGTGGCTGCCTCCTGTCACCTGACACATTCCGACAGGTAAACCCAGAGAGAGCAGCCATGCTCACGAGCATGGTCGTGATCAAAGGTGTGTCACACATGAACCGCCCATCAAACCACACAGACACCTGATGGGCAGCAACTACAGGCCAGGGGTGGGGTCCCAGGAAGGGGAGTGAGGGGCGGGGCTCAGAGGGGAGGCCTCTGGTTCTCTCTGCAGGTTTCATTTTCGTAAACACTTTGAAAACAAAGACGGCCAAGCATTAGTGTCTGCCAACGTCAGGTGTGCCCGGCAGGTGTCTAGCAGACCACACACGCACATCTGTGGATGTGTATGAAAAACATGCCATGCATGCATGCTTAGTCATATCAGACCCTTTGCTACCCTATGGACTGTAGCCCACCAGGCTCCTCTGTCCGTGGAGTTTTTCAGGCAAGAATACTGGAGTGGGTAGCTATTTCCTTCTACAGGCAATCTTCCCAGCCCATGGATGGAGTTCCTATCTCCTGCAATGGCAGGCTGATTCTTTAACACCTTAACTTACTATAAACAGTAACTGTCTCACATACAGAACGTGTTAATCATGTTGCAGAACCAGGGTAGTGGCCCCCTTTCCTGAGTCCCGGCCACTGGTGAGCCCCCCGAGGCCCAGGCCTGGCCCCCAGGGAAGCTCTATGTGAGGAGAAGGGACTTCTGCTCAAAGGAGGGTGTGATCACATCCTGGACCGTGTTACTTCATTTACCCCCGACACGCGATTGAGACACAGTGTCCCCGACCGCAGGGGGCGCTACCTCCGTAAGTCGTCCTTGCTGGTGTCGATGTGATGCTTGAGCAGCTGGACCTCGGGGCCCGAGGACGACAAGATAAACGCGTCGATATAATAAAACTGCGCAGACTGGACAGGCTTAGGGAACATGTCTTTGCCCTGCAGCGCAAATCAGTCATCATCACTAATAAATATGTGTCAGTAAAAACTCTACTGCTGTAAACATGAAACCCTGTCATCCTAACACAAACATCCACTTATTATAAATGTACAGAGTGCGTCTTGGTAGAACCAACGTACAACCTTCCGTTCTTCTTCCTGTCTAAACAATGCTACATAATTAAAAATGTTGCTGTAACGACTAAAATTCAGAATTCTGGCCATTTAAAAACTCTAAAATGAAAGAAACTGGGAACCTGACCATTGAAGCCAAAGTTCTACACGTGTTTTCAGCCTAGTTCTGAGTGTCTGCTCCTCCGACGACACGGCACAGCCCGTGCAGAGTGCAGAAGTCACCAGGACTCTGGGCCCCAAAGCCACCCCCCTCTCCCCTCTCGGCCTCCGAGGCCCCACCTGGGAGTGCCCAGCCTCCCTCAAGCAGGGCCCCAGGACTCAGATCCCTTTACAACCAGACTCACAGGATGAGTGCTAACAGAGTCCTTGAAACCGCTTCCCGCCAGCGAGGAGCCTGGTGACTGAGAGCCGTGTCTCCTGTCCCTCCCCCACCCGTCTTCCTGACCCCCTTCCCTCTGTTTCCAAACCATCTCCCATGAGCTGACCAAAATAAGGCATCTTTCTCCCCAAAACACACTTCCCCCACATAGCGTCCTGTGGGCATCACTATCGCCTCTACTATAGCATCCCGTTTATTTTTATCTTTAAATTATTCCCATATTTTACTATTGTTCTGCCATTTTCAAACCATACAAATGTCAGGCTTATTTAACTGTGTGTATGTGCATGTGTGTGCACGTGTGCCGTGCGTGTTTACGTGTCACGTGTGCGTGTAAACACACTGTGCTGCCCGCCTGGCCCCAACCCCCGGCGGCTGCAGGAGAAGCTGGGCGGGGCCCCCGACCGCCCGCCATCTGCGCCCTGGTACCCCCGTTACCAGACGCAGCAGTGGCTCCGGGCCGCGCATCGACCACACCCGCAGCGTCCCATCCTGGGAGGCGGACAGCACCCAGCGGCCGTCGTGGCTCCAGCACACGCTGCCCACTGCCCCGTCGTGACCTGAGGGCAGAGCAGGAAGAGCAGGCCTTGAGCCTCCCCAGAGCAGCAGAGCTGCGCGTCCAGAAGGGAGTGACCCCGCGAGCGGAGGCGTCTCCCAGCCAAGCGCCCCAGCGAGCTGACGCCCAAGCAGGTGGACCTTGCTTCATTTAAAGACCAAACACAGTCTGCGAAGAAGGTGTTAGACAATGACGCTGGCTGGCCGATGGTCACAGTGTCTGAGCAATCAGACCTGCAGATAACGGACCGATCATCACTTAGCACGTCCCCTCCTTTCCCCGGGAATAAGCGGGTGCTCAGGAAGGGAGAGGAAACGCTGCCCAGATCAGGTGGTAACACCAGGGGCAACACCACAGCCGCTCATGGGGGTCCGCGGCTCCTGCCGGCGCCGGCACCGGCTGCCTGGCTGGTCCACTCGGTCCCGATGAAGCGTCAGGACCTGCTGTGGCTTCTATCTTGGACCCTCCGACTCCCCCCACGCACCGGTCAGCCCCACCCTCTCTGGTTGGCGTCAGCCACCTCCGGCTCTGAACCCATACACGACCTGATTTTTGGACCTATTTTGCCCTCTCGACCCCTTAGAAAGGCCATTGCGGCCGGGAGACAACCTTAGAATCACCCAGCACCGCCCCCACGGCCACCAAGAAGCAGAGGAGCCCGTGTGGGGAAGGGTTCTCGGAGGCCGACACTTGGAGTTTGGGAAGAGAAAACCGTGGTCCTGCGAGAGGAGATTCAGAACCAAGACGGCCGGGCCGGGCTGTCCATGGGCCACAGCGCGCGCACGTGGGCGAGAAAATCCGCAACGCCTCCTGTGCAGAGCAAGGCTGCACCTCTGAGCCCTGCGCTGCCCCGGGGCGGGCTCCACGCGCCTCCGTGTCTCGGACTTCCCCTATTGGATGCTTTGTGACAAACCACAGAGAAAGAACAGCCAAGGAGGGGACACTCTTGTCTAGACAAGCTCACCCCAGACACCCGTGCGCACCCGGGGCTCAGAGTGTGAACTACACTCGGGAACCTGAGATCGGACAGAGAGGTGTAGCATCACCACATCACCCCGGTCAGAGAGCCCCTGGGAAGAAGTGGGGACACCATCCTGCGAGGATGGACAAGCGTAAACACGACCTGGAGCAAATGGAGAGCCAGGACCGACCGCAGAGAAACACCAGAAATGGCTTTGCTGCCCTCTGCTGCAGGAGCCCGGGAGCTACAGCGAAGGCACCATCATGTCCCCAGGACCGCCTCCCAGCAGAGCCAGAGCCGCCTGCCTGCGTGGACGGGCGGGAGCTGAACACCCTGAGCTCCAGACACACCAGCTCACTCCGAGCAACTCCCCTCCCTCCCGCCTCAAACGAGGCTACTCGGGGCCACCACCTCCCCAGGCGGCCAGAGGCCAGAGGTGAGTTCAGCTGGGCTCCCTCGCCTCGCCCACACGGAGCAGACCCCTGCTTCCGGTCCCCCCACACCCCCACCGCTGACAAGCACCGCCCGCCCCAGGAGCAGATCGGTCAGGAGGCTGCCTGCTCCCGCCCGAGGATCAGGACAAGACCGTGACTGCCAGGGACCACAGGACCCCAACAGCACCTTCTCCTCCAAGCTCCGCCCTGGACACCAGAAGCACCAGGATCCCAAGGCCTGTGCAGACACTGGCCTCAGGGTGAGCGCCGAGACCCCCGCCTGGCTGAGCCACGTGCCCCCTGGGGACCCCGCCAGACCCCCTTTCCTCATGTCTTCTCCCCACAGCCACAGCGGACGGCTCCCGCCTCTGATGACTGACGCCCCGGGTGTGGACAGCAGGACACGCTCGAGAAAAAGAGCAACAGGACACACAACCCTGACCCCAGCCCTCCCCCACAGGACACACAGCCCTGACCGCAGCCTCCCCCGGGACACACAGCCCTGACCCCAGCCTCCCCCGGGACACACAGCCCTGACCCCAGCAGCCCCCCTCCGGGACACACAGCCCTGACCGCAGCCCTCCCCATCCAGGACACGCAGCCCTGACCCCAGCACCCCCCCTCCAGGACACGCAGCCCTGACCCCAGCCTCCCCCGGGACACACAGCCCTGACCCCAGCCCTCCCCTGGGACACGCAGCCCTGACCGCAGCCCTCCCCATCCAGGACACACAGCCCCGACCGCAGCCCCCCCGGGACACAGCCCTGACCCCGCCTCCCCTGGGACACACAGCCCTGACCGCAGCCTCCCCCGGGACACGCAGCCCTGACCGCAGCCTCCCCATCCAGGACACGCAGCCCTGACCTCAGGCCTCCCCATCCAGGACACGCAGCCCTGACCGCAGCCCCCCGGAACACACAGCCCTGACCCCAGGCCTCCCCATCCAGGACACGCAGCCCTGACCCCAGGCCTCCCAATCCAGGACACGCAGCCCTGACCCCAGGCCTCCCCATCCAGGACACGCAGCCCTGACCCCAGGCCTCCCCATCCAGGACACGCAGCCCTGACCGCAGCCTCCCCCGGGACACGCAGCCCTGACCCCGCCTCCCCCGGGACACACAGCCCTGACCCCGCCTCCCCCGGGACACGCAGCCCTGACCGCAGCCCCCCGGGACCACAGGGACAGCAGCAGTGGTGGAGGCTGGGGACCAGGCTGCCGGTGCCCGCCAGCAGGAAGGACCATGGCAGGGGCCAGCGGGCCTCAGACACACGCCGAACTCGAGAGACAGCAGGAGTTCCAGGCTCAGTGCCGCCCCTTCACAGGACTTCGTATGTCCACAGCTCCACTGCACCTCATGAAATCTTAATCACCGTGACCTTCTGAAGTGACTGACCCCAGGGTTTAGCTGCTACATCCCTTGCCCTCCGCCCACCATGAGGGGTGGTCCTCCCGGGCGGCACTCAGACCCGTCCAGCCGTGGCCGCCAGGTGCCAGGTGCACCCTCAGGGAAGGGTCGGCTCCGGGCCCCCGGCGTCCAGGGACTAGACAGCCAAGTTGGACGGGAAGCACTGTCAAGTCTAAAGCATGAACACAGACCCTGCCAGCGTATGACACCCACTGGGATCCATGGTCATCACACTGTGATGCATCACCGGCTTGTGCTCTCAGAAGTGGAGACCTCCAAGACGGATTTTAACTGAGCACCACGGGACCCCTTCCACAAACATGCCTCCAGGTCTGGCCCCACAAGTGATGCTCACCCTGCTCAGCTCAGCAGGGTTCGGCGGAATCCGGTCATTTCATTCCCCAAGTCAGCCACAGCTCTAGTCTGTTCTTGTTTGAAAGGAACAAGTGTGGCGCTTGCAGATTAACAACAGGACCATAATGAGACTGAATTTGTGTCCCAGAGGATTAAAAAAGTCATGCTGAAGGTACGCCCACAGGGCAAACAGGAACCGTGACCATCAGAAATCTGTGAGCTCGTCCGACAGAACAGCAGGTGTGAGGGATGTGTGTCAGAAACCCTCCACCAGTTACCACCCTCACTGAGCAAGCTCACCCTATAACCACCCCAACAGATAATGCCTCTGACATATGGGTCCCTATAGTTACAGGGACTTAAGCTGGTTTCCAGGACTGTGGAATCAGCTGTGCGTAGCCAGCCAAGCCTGTTGGGACCACTGACCCTAAAACGAGGCCTGTGCAGGCGTCTGATGGACGACCTCCTGACATCAGGGCCCAGAGCGCCGCCCTCGCCTCGTGGCTGGCGCCTCTGCTTCTGAACGTGAATCCCACAAAGCAGCATGAAACCCTAAGCTGTCTGTGCTGCACACAACTGCCTCGCCCGGTCCCTGCCTCCCACCCCGGCACCCAGCCCAAAGACCACCCTGCCTCTCGGTCCCGTAAGTGCCCGGCCCCACCTCGGGGAGCAGGGCTGAGCTCTGCCCTCCCGGCCCCTCGCTTGGCTCCCTTGTGTAAACCCTCCCTCTGCTGCAAACCCTGGCATCTCAGTGTTTGCCTCAGTGTCTGGCAAAAGGACCTGACTTGGTAACAAGAGAAAAACACTCACAAATCCACATCAACTAAAATTCTACATCTTACCTGACAAAACAGCAGGCGTCCCAGTAAGATCAGCATTGCAGACCAGGGACAAGTGGTTGGCTAAGCCACAGGCCAGCCGCTGTCCATCTCCTGCTTGAGAAAGTAAGAGAAACTCCTTATAAATCATAACTCAGAGGCACCACGCTTGCAACAGGTGAAATTATAGAATTTTTCAGTTAACCTGATGTCCGTTTTCTCAGAAAGTGAGGAAACCTGAAACAGGTAACGGTGTTTCCTTGACTCCCAGCTGCTGGGTGTGCAGGGCCCACCAGGGGCTCACGTCACGCCCAGCTTCTATGGACAGGAGCCAAGGGCTGGGGCTGAGGGGCCTGCCCAGGACGTGGGGCTGGTCAGAGGCGGCACTGGGGTCTGAACCTGAACCTGCTGGGACGCCCAGAGCAGCCAGCCTCCCCGCCTCTCAGCCTCCTCTCAGGGGCATATCTGCCTCAGCCATTCCATCAAACAGTGCCCAAAAGTAAGGCATCACAAATTATACATTTCCCCCATAATATTCAAACCCGAGGATCCCACTTTTATGGTCATGTGCTTGGTAAGCAAATCAAATATCACATAAATATTTACTGATAATACTACATGTCTAATTTCCCAAAATTATTCAAAAAATTCTTTGGCTGGCTGGAATTCTATGAAAAAAACAAAAGGAAGTCAGTAACCTTTCGGATTTGGGCAGACGGCGGATTTGGGCAGACGGCTGGTCAAATACTCAAGGAGGTGGGGGTGGGGGCTGGTGCACAGACAGACCCTGGACTTGGGCAAAGGCATATTCTCACTTGTAAGTAAATCTAGAGACCAGAAATGATGTTTAACTCTGAAAAGAGCTTAAATAGTGGAGCTACCTGGATGAGAGCTGCCTCCTGACTTCTTTAAGTTCACAGAAAGGAAATAAAGGTGTCCGGTCGCCCTTGAGAGGGAGTGGTTGCCAGGGGCCAAGTGTGCCCGGAGGGAGGCTCCACCCACCGAAGAACCAGGAGACCAGGTCTCCAGGGGGCAGTGGCGGCTCTTCTGTAGCCTCTCTTTGGATGAACCAGCCTCTATATGCAGCGCTCCTGCCAGGATCCCTTGGGGCTCATGGAGGAGACGCCACGTACTCAGAGCTCAGACCTGGAACAGCTAATAACCAAACCAGAGCTCCTGCTGCCAGACGCTGCAGGGCAAGCGTGGACGCCCTGGGTTAATCCTAGTGACTTTCCAGGAAGCAAGCTTTGATTTTAATCTAGACTCAAACAATGTCATATGACTTCAAACAACCAAGATTTAAAAAATCTATTTAAAACGGAACAACGGGCAAAGCGAGAAACTTGCAGTGAAGCACAGCTCTGGCTGGAGCAGCATACCTGAGCACTGGATACAGAGCAGGGCAGCCTGGTCGCGGGCCACGGCCAGCCGCTTGCCCAGCTTGCTGGGTGGAGGACTCTCCAGAGGGTACTCCTTACTTCAAGGGAGGTCAGAGAAAATAACTGAGACAGTCCAAAGTAACATTAGAAATAAAAAATATACTAGAAATAAGGTGAGTGTTTCCCTATTTACATGTACAATTTTATTCCACAACATTTATATATATGTGTGTGTGTGTGTGTGTGTGTGTATAAACTCTTACATTCAGACCATGAAATAATATGTATATGCTGCCTATAGGAGACTCATTTCAGAGCTAAAGACATACACAGACTGAAAATGAGGGGATAGAAAAACATATTTCATGAAGATGGAAACAAGATAGTAGTAGCAATACTCAAATCAGACCAAACAGACTTTAAAATAAAAGTTATTAAAAAATAAACAATGGCATTATATAATGATAAAGGGATCAATACAAAAAGATATTATACTCATTAACACACATGAACTCAATAAAATAGCACCTAAATATGTAAAGCAAATATTAACAGACATAAAGGGAGAAATGAACAACAATACAATAATAGTAGGAGACTTTACCACCCCACTGACATCAAAGGACAAAGCATCCAGAAAGAAAATCAATAAGGAAACATGTTTTAAATGACACAACAGACCAGCTGGACTTAAGAGATACCTACAGGACATTCCCCATCCAAAAATAGCAAAATACACATCCTTTTCAAGTACACATGGAACATTCTCCAGGATAGATCATATTCTGGGCTACAAAACAAGTCTCAGCAAGAGACAGAGGACAGAAATTACATCACGCATTTTTTCAAAACATAATATTATGAAACTGGAACTCAATTACAGGAAGAAAAATGTGAGAAGCACAAACACTAAACAATAAGTTACTAAAAAACAAATGGGCCAATGAATAAATCAAAGGAAAAAATCAGAAAATACCTCAAGACAAACCAAAATGGAAACACAACTTTCCAAAAATTTATGGGATGCAGCAAAATAAGTTATAAAAGGGGAAGTTTTATAGTGCCACAGGCCTTCCTCAAGAAACAAGAAAAATCTCAAAAAAACAATCTAATCTTCCACCTAAAGGAACCAGAAACAGAAGAATAAATAAAGCCTAAAGTCAGCAAAAGAAAGGAAATAATAAAGATTAGAGAGGAAATAAAATAGAGACCAAAAAACAATAGAAAAGATCAGCAAAACAAGAACTGTTTTTTTGAAAAGACAAAACAAAACAGAAATCTTTAGCCAGGCTATCAAGAAGAGAAGAGAGAGGCCCAAATAAATTAAATAAGAAGTGAAAGGGGAGAACTAAAAACCAACACCACAGAGGTAGAAAATGTCACTAGGGAATACTGCGGACAGTTAGTGCCAATGAACTAGACCACCTAGAAGAAATGGATGAACTTCTGGAATCATGCAACCTTCCAAAACTAAATCAGGAAGAAATACACAATGTGAAAAATGGATTACTAGTAGTAAAATTTTATTAGTGATTTAAAAACTCCTAGCAAACAAAAAGTCCAGAACTGAACAACTTCATGGGGGAATTCTACCAAATACATAAAGATGAGCTAATTCCTATCCTTCTCAAACTACTACAAAAACTTGACAAGATGAAACACTCCCAAATTTACCTATAACACCACCATCACCCTGATACCCAAACCAGACAAAGATGCTACAAAAAAATTATAGGCCAATATCATTGATGAATATAGACGCAAAAATCCTCAACAAAATATTACAAATTTGAATTTAACAATGTATATAAAGGATCATACATGATAAAGTGGGATTCATTCCAGAGATGCAAAGATGGTTTGGTACTCACTAATCAATCAATGTGATATACCTCATTAAAAAAAGAGATGATAAAAAACAACACAATCACCTCAATAGATGCATAAAAAGCATTTGACAAAATTCAACATCCTTTATGATAAAAAAAAATTTTTTTTAACTCCCTGGAAAAACCACCACAGGAAACCCAAGCTCAGCAAAGCCCAGGGCTGCACTCCATCCTCGACCACAGATGCTTGAGAGGGCCTGACGGGGCGTGAGGGCGTCTGGTGGAGACAGCTACTCAGCAGCAGTGACCTGCTGACATGGGAACAGCAGACAGGGGCAGGAAGAGGACCAAATCACGCGACTAAACGTGGGCAAGTCAGGCCCAGCAGCATCTTGTGAGCCAGCGACAGCAGGCACAGCGGCAACGCTCACTGGAATGAGCAGCAGCTCAAGTGCCACAGCCCACCATCTCTGCATAGATGGCGTCACCTCTAACAGCAGAACCTTCCTGTCCAGAGAAACGGACCCGGGAAATCTGCAGAACTCGTCCACCATCATGGGACACGGGGACAGGTGTGGACACAGAGCCGGGCAGCTAGCCCTGGGCTGAGGGCCGCTGGATGAAGGAAGCATTTCCAAGCCAATGAGCCCATCGCAGGCCACCCAGAATGGCACTGAGCACCATGCCTACTCAGACTTCCTGCCCAACTACCACCTAAGACGCTTATCAGGATAATCATTAGTTATAAGGCTCTCCAAAATGAAACTTAAAACAAAAATTAAATGCTTCTAAATAATTAAGGTGATAAAAACAGCAGCATGTCTGAAAAATGATTAATATGAACTAAATTTAACTAAAAGAACAGATAGATACAAAAATAATATATACACATATGTATGTGTACATGTACATACTTACACATATGTACTTAAAGAGTCTTATATCTGTTTGAAAAAAATAAAGTATCTAAAGAGTTCTTCCAAATTATCTAAAATTTACTTGGAATGCACAAACTAGGTTACATACCGCCTGTAATTGTTTTTGCATTTTGAAGCTCTTTTACCATCATTTTTGAAATTAGTCTTTGGTGAAAACATAGTTGCACTGTGGAAAGAAGAACTCTATGTCACTCAAAGATTAAAACTTCTAAGCTTAAGAGACCTATTTTGCAGTGAAAAAAATAAACATAAATACATAAATGCTTCCCATGTCCCAAGTTAGTAATAAACTAAACATTTAATCACTTTAATTTTGACAGCATTCCTCTAATTCTATATCCATATCAGCTATTTCACTAATGGGGACATAAGTGTATTTGTGTGTTAAAATTCTGGAGAACCCTGTGCTATTTACCTACAAATTCTGGGTTCCTAGACAAAAACTAAGATAATGACTTTGCAGCCAGGCATGCAGGGCAACCCCACATGTAAGCTTCAGGTCTGGAGCCCTGGGAGAGAGACGAGTCGGGGGGAGGGGCTACGTGTGCTGCAGAATCTGCAAGGCCCCTGGGCAATGGCCCAGAGCAGACCTGGGTGAGGCAGGCGAGGACACGGACGCGCGACTGTGAGGACCGGGCTAGGGCGGGGGGCTCACCCACCCAGAGCACAGGGCCCAGGGAGGCTGGGTGAGGGCGGTGGGAGCTGGGTGAGGTCTCAGGAGGAAAAAGCACCCAGGCAGGGAGGCAGGCAGTCCGTCAGCCTCACCACCTCCCCGTCTGTCCTCACGGCCTCCAGGATGTCACAGTGAAACACATCCTCACCCCGTGACCCCATCTAGAATTTCCCTGTACTTTTCCTAGAAAGTTCAGGCCCTGGGGCTAGTACTTAGGACTGACCACGGCCTGGTTCCTCCTCCCCCTGGACTCCCTCACAGGCCCCACATGCAAGACCCAGCCAAGTACAGTGAACCCGAGGAGTCCACACTTAGCAGATGGCACCTCCGTGGAGCGGGCACACAGGCTCGGGGCCTGGACTAGTGTGCAGTTATACGGAGGCATGAATCCAGGATCTGTCCATGCACCACCCACCCATCCACCCACTGATCCACTCATCCATTCATCCATCCAACAACCCAGCCAGCCAGCCAGCCAGTCACCCATCTACCCACTGATCCATCCACCCACTGACCTATCCATCCATCCACTCATCCATCTATATATCCACCCACCCACCCATCCATCCACTCATCCATCCATCCATCTATCCGCCCATCCACCCACCCACCCATCCATCCATCTAACCATCCACCCATCCATCTACCCACCCATACACCCATCCATTCATCCATCCATCCATACACCCACCCACCCACTGATCCATCCACCCATTCATCCATCCATCCAGACATCCATCCACCTCCTGCATTGCAGGCGGATTCTTTGACAACTGAACTATCAGGGAAGCCCCAAAGTAGATAGTAAGCACTCAATAAATGCTACTGCCACTTCTGTTCCGCGATGGTGACATGCTGGGGTGCACACGCCCACCTCCATCCATACCAGCACCTGCGCCTGGAGGCCATGGTCTGTCTCTGGGCGGTCCACTCACCATGGGGCAGCTGTGTAGCCCGACGACTGAATTTTGTTGTGGAAAACCAGCGGGTGGTCCTTCACGACGCTCCGAGCAGCTGCAGGAAACACAGTTACAGAAGAAGCAAGTCATTAACACAGCTGCTTCATCACAGATAAGGACAAAGCTCTGCAGAGACAGCCAAGTTCACACAAGAGGAGGCAGTGCACACCCTCCAGACAGGAGAGGCTGCATATACCTGATGACAAACCAACACCACCAGCAGAGAGGGAGACCAAGGGCATGAAAAGTACAAGAAAACAATGACAAGGTGATTTTCCTCCTTAAATGACCTGAATCACAGTGTTGAACACTGTATTTCAGATATTCAAGGGCTAAAACGTCAGCTTTTCCCACAGCGCGGCCCCTCCTGGCACGTCTAAAGAGGCTGTCCGTTCTGGGCTGAGACAGGCCACATAGAACCTGGCCGGTGGGCTTCTGTCCACGGGACCCTGAAACCTGCAGCACGGAGCAAAAGCCTCTGCCAGTGCCAGGTACAGCTCCCCTACAACGGGAATGCAAGTCTCTTAAGCCAACCAAGTGTCTCTCTCATGCCTGTGTTTATCATGACACAACAGTAAGAAAGACCAGCCTTCAGAGCATTTTAATGGCAAGGAAGCACCTTACCCTACTTTTAACACACTGTGAGCTCCCACGGCTCAGCTGGCTGCTTAGAGCTCTGACACCTCAGGAACTCACCACCGACACGGACATGTCCCACGGTGCTTTCAGACAGAATACAGTCCTGCCAGAATTACTCATTTTTATGTATATATGATACTTGCTATTCAATATTAATACTCTGTACAATATTATAAAACAGCTTTAGAAAATGGATAATTACATAATATTGAATACTCCTAAAAACAGTTCTCTTTTACTTAAAACAAAGAAATTCAGCTCTGCCTTTGGAACTATTTCAAACGTGATAAACCGAGACACATTCCCAGCAAAAGCTCAGGGAACCCCACTGGACACGGAGGCCCCGAGGAGGGAGCTGGGCCCCCGGAGGTCCTTGGGAGGGACTGGAAATCAAGACGCACCCAGAGGGACCAGCAAACCTTGCTATATCTATTGTGCTTTTTTTTTTCATTTATTTTTATTAGTTGGAGGCTAATTACTTCACAATATTGTAGTGGTTTTTGCCATACATTGACATGAATCAGCCATGGATTTACATGTGTTCCCCATCCC